GTTGGTAGATAGCTTCATATAAAAAAAATTCATAAGGTTAGGACCCAGTTTAATGGTGAAAAATGCCTACCAAATTTTTGTCATGTCATATGTGTCGCTTTCCCAAAATGACCTATTTTAAAAAAATAAATGACTTGATTTACACGGGAAATCCAGCTTATCCATGCCATAATAACTCATTCAATCACCCATTCAAAAACAAAAAGTTTAATAACACAGATCTGCTGAGATCTCAGAATCAGATACACCTATTTTATAATTTTAATAACATAAATATAAATAGTTAAATAGGCCTACATTGCCTACATATAAAAAGTGATTATTCACAGAGCTGTGCGGATAACGCTCGCCGTTATTCACAGATTTCGGTCTGCCGATAACGGTCGACATTATTCGCAGAATGTGATAAATTAAATTATGAATATAAAATACAAAGTTCGTAAGTAAACATCTCCTCGGTAGTGTAGTGGTCAGTATCTCCGCCCATCACCCGGCAGACATAGGTTCGATTCCCCGTCGGGGAAGCCTCATTTTTATAAACAAAATTTAAAAAAAAAAATATTTAATGGTTATTTCGTAGTGTTATATTATAATAATATTCTTCATATGGCTTTCTTATTCTGTTCACATAGTTTTATTATTATTTTCATATAGTTTTGTTACTTATGTTACAAGTTTCAATCTATTTTGTTAGAATGTGCATTCAAGTTTCGTCAAAAAACTGTAAACAACATGGACATGCAGATGAGCCGCATAAACCATGTTTAAGTCAGATACAGCTGTACTAACTGTACATTGTGATATACTTTTAGCTCTTTTGACTGTTTAATTTTCTTTGTATAATTCCACTCATAGACTTTGACATCTATTTGTTTTTTCTCTAATAAACAAATACTTATTAATAACTTACTTATTCAAATATTTTAGATCTCAGAGTTGTGTAATAATGTTTAGCTGAAAAAATATGTCACGTTTTATTCATTTCATTTTATTTTCTAATAAGTATCATAATAAGTAGGGACACAATATGACGCTCCGGAAATAGTTGAAATAACATTTAGTGATGACAATGAAATGAACATACCGGTACCGTACTTAAAACATATCAATATCATTGACATCAAATCAACAATTTTAGCTCTTGTAAAAAAAATGTTGATAATTGAAACAAAAAGCCATACTGCCACTGTTGTAACTATGGGTCTAAATATAAAAAAAAGCATACAAAAATTAATTGGAACCCTGCTGGTCGTAGGATGCATTGTGAGTCTTTGGGAAGTAAAGTTCCCTTGGGGCAATTGAAGCAGCGTTTACAAGTGTGGGTGTATTGCCAGCGCAATAACCAGCCAGCTTTACTTTTCCCCAGCTAAGGCCAGAGCTGGGTAGACTTAGGGACACCCTCAAGGATCAAGAAAAAATACTAGCCTTAAACAGGATTAGATTCTGTTATTATCGATGTAGGGCATATATGCCCCTCCCCGTCTCTCAGATGGCCGCCTGATGGAGACACCTCTCTGCATCATAACACTGTTGCACGGCATGTCAACTATTTCTGTCAGAACATTTCTGGACTACGTGATATATCATAGTGCTTTAAAAAAAACTAAACAATATCCTATCAAGCTTTGACATCATTTAAAGACATCTCTACAGTCTACAGTGAGTGAAAGTGAGTCTACATGAAGAATACCGGTACCATTTTTATTACTGGTATAACATTTAATATGAAATACCAGAAAATTAGCTATGTCTAGGAGTAGGAGGTTTGACTGGATCTATTAGTAGCACTCTATAGGTCGAATATGTTGGCCCCTAACAGAGCAGATGTAGGCACAATTAATTGTCCTATATCCAATATATAGGCTATAGTTAGGCCTATTAAATTTTTTAAATTTAACTTGTGCATACCGGTAGCTTCGGTTGTGAGATGTGTTTGTGCCATTCTCATTAACGATCGATCTCTCCTACACTACTTAAAACTATACCCCTACTCCGGCTTGGAATATGATCTTAATTATTTCTAGAAATGTGCGTAATTATGGGAACATTTCTGTCTAACAATAACGCTCTGCATTATTCGCAGATTTTGGTCTGCCGATAACGCTCAGCGTTATTCGCAGATCTCGGTCTGCCGATAACGCTCAACGTTATTCACAGAGCTGTGTGGATAACGCTTCCCTATTTTTAACTTGTTTTGATGCTTTTACTTTTATTGAGGGGTAGTAGTAGTGACTTGGACTTGGGCCCTAAGTTTAAATAATATTAAAAATATTATTAATTTATTAAAATTAATTAATTTATTTCTTTAATTTATTACTATTATTTATATTTATTTAAAATTTATTTAATATTTATAATTTTATATTTATAAATTTTATATTTATTTGAAATTGCCATTATTGAGTTGCAAGTGCAAGTCGTGATATATGATATTGAAATATATAATAATTTAATATATATTGGCAAATAGTAATTAGTCATAGACAGTTAGAGTCATAGTCGATTTTAATTTAAGTCATACCCATAAGTCAAAATCGTCACGGGCCGCTAAATCTGAATCAGCCAACTTCACTTCTCTACAAACTTACCCAATGTAGATTTAAATGTGTCGAAATTGCAGTCTAAACTGTTATTAAAAATATTCTTGTTGAACCAGTACCAGAGATTTAATATCTCTATGTCTTTGTCCAGTATTTGTTGTTAAATCGAAAGGTCGTAAAATGAACTTGGTGTCGTAAAACGTCCTACTCTTAGTAACGTTACCATAGAAAAAACAATATGGCTGACTGTTGACATAATTTTAAAATATATCCGAGACGAAAATGGCTTTAGCTAGACTTCCACCGCTTTCTGGGTCAGAATATACTATTAATAATATATAATTTAGGTCGAAATTCAATGAGATTTATTGAGATGTCTGATTTAATAAATTACACTTGCTAAATAGACACCGAGGCACGAGGAATAATAATGAATAAATTCAATTCAATAATGGCATTAATTATTAATAATGGATAATAACCTCATAGCCCTGCAATATACAGCACAAATGCATGTGTTTTATATCAGTAAATCAGCCTATGTTTGAAGCATGTAGATTTATGTCCTACAAAACAATTCACATTATCATTTACTATTCTATAAATGTAGTGACAATTTAAATATATAATAATATCTATCTGATTTATTAAAATACTTGATAAGTAAGCCCTACTTGAGAGATGTATAAAATTTCATCTTCTATATTTTGATTTCTTTAGCGGGAAGATGGCCCCAGTGTCACCTCGTGAATTACACAGACTTGATGGACCCTCTTACAGGGTGAATGGCAAGCAACATCATCTACCACCACCAAATGCATTGAAAGTATGAGACATTCACAGCTTCATTGATAAACTTTTTTTCTTTGAGTCAAAATGTTAAACCACTTTTTAAAAATATACTTGATTTCTGAAAAAAAATATTTTTTTTGACAATGTTTTGGATTTTTTCAATTTCCTCAAAACATAAAATTAAATTTTAATAACAGTATCTGCTTGGTAAAACCAATGTAAACACACTACTTAACTCATAGGATTTTATGAGAAATTAATGATAATCCTATCAAGGCTAAATTATATAAGTCTTTATACAGGACATTACCGTTGAAACTAAAACATAACAAAGAACTAACAAACAACGTTTGGCCATATATAGTGATCTAAAAATATTTGTATCATTATAATACATTTTTACATCCATTCTCCCTAGAAGAGATAATAAATTAACATGCCTCAATCATTACTTAAAGCACTTTCCAATAATTGGCCCCAAAATAAAGACAGACAAGTAGCAAGTAAGGTACTTTTTACAAATTTACTTTTTATTGTTGGTACTAAACGGCTTATGGATGCGAAGTCCATTTTCTTATTTTCTATCTATTTTCGATCTAATTTCTAATTTCTAACCCTAGCCTTATGTTGACACTCGAGCTGGAGAACTTGACACCTGGCCAGCACATGCTAGTAGTCAAGCCTTAACAGAGGCATCAGCTGTTCTCTCTAAAAATAAACATCTGGTGTTGGTCAAAGAGGATGATGAAGGAAAGTCTCAGATTGTACCCAAGCCTAGGTTTTTAGAGCAGTTAGAAAACTTTCTTAGGAAAGAACTGAGGGCATTAGGAGTTGTTGATGTGCAGCCAAATGAACTCCGACTTCAGGTAATGACTTATTATTTGTGTTAAGTTCAAGGCTAAAATCCTATAGAAAAATGCATGGGGACAGTGTTTCTGTAAATTTTTTTCCTAAGAAATAAATATACATTTTTAAAGAAAAAGAGAGAGAGGTGGGGGTTGAGGTGTGATTTTGGATGATTTCCCAAACTTTTTTTCTCAGGACTTGACCTTTGGTCAAGCTGATGCTAAAACCCAAAAATTGTATGCTCCCCTCGAGTTGGAGTCTGCTCATAAAATTGTATTTAAAATAATAATTTCAAACATTTATAAGATATCCCTTCTTTTGATATAAAATTAAACAGCTTTATGAAGTTTTGTAAGAATATTTGGATGATGATCTTGTCTACCAACAATTAAAGATGGACCACTCTGTGTGGTATTTAAAAAAAAAAATCACTACTCAATTTTTCAGGCTCATCGAGAAGTTTTTGAATATCTTATTGAAGATTTCAAGACATACAAGCCGCTGCTCTCTGCTATTAAGAACGAATATGAAATGATGTTGGCACATCAAAGACATCAAATAAGGCAGATGGAACCACTCAAGGTAAGTTATTTTTTGGGCTCAGTACATAGTGTTTCCAGCTGGCATTACTGCATACCAACAATTTAGAGTAGTGAAGCTTGCAGATGTGAAGTCATTTTGAATCTTACAGATTTAATATATTCATCTGCATTAAATAACTATATTAAACAGAGACAACTGCTAACACAAAAAACAGTTTAAAATCGTTCTCTCGAACCACCTAATTATCAAAGAATGACTAAATTCTGTCATTTGAAATAATTTTATTATTTGCTTTGTATCTCAAACCTTTAAATTGTTCCAGAAATATATATATATATATTAACAAGATCTCATCATATTTAAAATTTGTTGGAGCATCTAGGTTAATTAAGACAAGACCTACACATTACACAAATAATACACAACTCTGTAACATCTATAATGTATAATAAAATAGGCCTACGTAAATAAAAAAAAATAGGTTAAATCATAATTGTTTATGAATCAGGTTCTAGTGTTTTGAGTGCTTTTGGCATAAAGATTGCCCCCCCCCCCCCAAACCTGCTGAGCTCTGCGGCTGACTGAGAAACTTCGTGCAGAGGAAGAGAATACTGTTTTATAGATAATTAATAAAGTGGGGGGAAGGAAATAAAAAAAAATAGGTTAAATCATAATTGTTTTTGAATCCGGTTCTAGTGTTTTGAGTGCTTTTGGCAAAAAGATTGCCCCCCCCCCCCCCAAACCTGCTGAGCTCTGCAGCTGACTGAGAAACTTCGTGCAGAGGAAGAGAATACTGTTTTATAGATAATTAATAAAGTGGGGGGAAGGCGATCCTTGCTTAAATGTCAATCATACTTTAATTATACCCCATCATGGCATAAACCCAGGGGCCAGCTACCATAGGGTCAGCTCTGCCTAGGGACCAGCAACCATAGGACCAGGTCTGCCTAGGGACCAGCAACCATAGGACCAGCTCTGCCCAGGGACTAGCAGCCATAGGACCAGCTCTGCCCAGGGACCAGCAACCATAGGACCAGCTCTGCCCAGGGACTAGCAGCCATAGGACCAGCTCTGCCCAGGGACCAGCAACCATAAGGCCAGCTCTGCCCAGGGACTAGCAGCCATAGGACCAGCTCTGCCCATGGACCAGCAACCATAGGGCCAGCTCTGTCTAGGGGCCAGCTACCATAGGGCCAGCTCTGTCTAGGGGCCAGCTACCATAAACCAGCAGCCATAAGGCCAGCTCTGTCAAGGGGCCAGCAACCATAGGACCAGCTCTGTCCAGGGATCAGCAACCATAGGGCCAGCTCTGTCCAGGGGCCAGCAACCATAGGACCAGCTCTGCCCAGGGATCAGCAACCATAGGGCCAGCTCTGCCTAGGGACCAGCAACCATAGGGCCAGCTCTGCCCAGGGATCAGCAACCATAAGGCCAGCTCTGTCCAGGGGCCAGCAACCATAGGGCCAGCTCTGCCCAGGGGCTAGCAACACTTCCTGAGTGAGGAGTCATTATTATACATTATATTGTTTAGAAAATATTTGGGGAGCCACATGTCATAATAGATTTTTTTAAAAAAGAGCCACATCTATTCCCTTTAAACCACTCCATGTGTCTCAAGACCATGGGTTGTCGACCACTGACCTAACCCAAGTCAGGTTAAATTAGCAGGCTAAATTAACCCGAATCCCTTTAACAAATTTTGATACGGAAACAAAAGCAAAGACAAATGGCAACACAATCGGCATCAGTAAAGAAGCAGGCCAGGCTACTGAACTCATTCAGGGGGAAACCAAAGCAATAAGAAGATACACAGGGTAGAGGAAAACCTGAAGAAGGAAAATACAAAAAATGTGGACGTTTCGACCAAGACGCCTTTGGAAGACACACTCAGCATGTAGATTTGTAGTAGACAATTTTGCTGCCGAAGACTTCTTGGCTGAAACATACATTTTTTAATTGTCCTTCAGCTTTCCTCCACCCTGTGTATATTTCTTATGGCTTCAACCTGAATGCAGTCCTCTCCATATTTCTCTTGAAACCAAAGCCACCAAGAAATCTCTAACTTGAGATCAGATCTTCTGATGCCAGAGGAAATGTCACAGAATATTAGAGATGCTGTGAGGAATGGAAACCCAGCCATGGAGACAGCTCCACAGAAGCAGCTGGTAAACAGAAATGGGGTCCCTTGGCCATTGGCTCAATCTCCCACTGACAGAAAAGGTGTTCCTTGGCCATTGGCATAAACACCCACTGACAGAAATGGTGTTCCATGACCATTGTCTAAAGCAGTCACTGACAGAAGTGGTGTCCCTTGGCCATTGTCTCAAGCACCCACTGACAGAAATGGTGTCCCTAGGCCATTGTCTCAAGCACTGACTGGCCGACAGGGACTGTAGGAATGAATATTGTTTAACATTGTAATACTAAAAAATGTTTTTAAAAAATATATAGGAAGCTAAATGCTGTTACACAAACAATGTCCTATATGAGTAATGTCCACTCAGTGTTTCGGACTTGCCTTGTAGTCTAAGCCAGTTGTTAGGTTATACAATATTTCTACTACAATAAAAAAAAGATTTACAATGTATAGAGTGTGTAAGTTTACACCACAATTAGTATCCCCTGAGCTTTTCGTCTCTGGCCTTAACTGAAGCAGGAAACTGATCTAACGTATATCATCACTTATTGCTGACAGGTCTCGTCATTTGGAGACGTAGCCCAGGTCACACATTCACAGTCCTGTAATGCAACAATCAGTTAATGAGGGTTGGGATCTGTTGAGACATCGAACCAATTTTTTCAATGACCGTTTGGGTGAACCTCGATCAAAATTACTTTTCATGAAAAGTCCTGCAAAGTCTCCCTGGGTGACCTACTCTAGATTAACAATTAGGCATTAAACATCTCACAAACCTGTTTAACATTGTCAAAACACTTCAACAAATGTTGAGACTCAGAGTCTATGGTATTTATCCTGATGACTTAAAAAATTCCACGCTGCACTCTGGCAAAAAATGCAGCACACGTATCTTATGCTAACATGCGCTGCATTCTCCTGACCAAGGTTAGTTTAGATAAACAACTTTCTCAGACATTTATTTGGAGCACTCGTCCACAATCGCATTCATCAACGGGTAAATTCCCTCTCGGCAGAAACGTCCGCTGAAATCGTCGTGCGAAAGCTCCCAAACCATCACCCCTCCATAACCGTTGCTCTTGACAAACTTAACCTTCTCCCTGAGACTCGCCTGGTCTTCATAACCCACCCACTGATCCCCATACACTAGGAAGGGGACTCTCTGAGACTCTATGTAGTACTGCTTGGAGGTCGGACGCTGAAGACACACCTCGTAGTAAGACAAAACTCCCGCCGTGGCTGTGTACGGCCCTGGACTTCCACTTCCGGATACGAACGACCCCACTGCAGCGTTTTTAGATGACGTTAGACTAAACGATCTGGCATACAGGGGTGCTCCAATGACAAGCTTATTTTTCGGCGCCCCCTTGCTGACCCAGTATTTTGCCACCCACTCAACATTTAGGGACTCCTCAAATCCCGACTCCCATTCCCCAGGCTTCAGTGGGCTGTGATGCCAAGCCTGTTGATCCCACGAGCCGTGGAAATCATAGCTCATCAGATTGAAAAAATCCACAGCGACAGACAGTCTAGAGATGTCGTACGCCGTATCAATGATCGCCTTCCCGGCTGCTACTGCAGCTGTCAAAATGAGCCGCTGGTCCCCACTGGCTTCGGCATCGAAGGCCGCCCTCAGCTGCTCACAGAGTAGGGCGTAGTTTTCTCTATCATCCCTGGCACCACCCCACGAGGCTGGATACTCCCAGTCAAAATCGAGTCCGTCAAAATTTCTTTTTCTTAAGAATTCAATCGTGGTGTTGACAAACTCTTCTCTGCGTTCGGGGGCCGAAGCCATCACGGAAAAAGCGGTCGTCCCCATGCCCCATCCACCGACAGCTAGAAGAACTTTCAGCTTGGGGTTAACCTTCTTGAGGTTGGTCAGCTGAGCAAAGTTGCCGATGTCATCACCCTGCTGCTCGTCGCCTGACTCCGTCGCCGCAAGCCTGTTGCCCGACAGCTTCGCGAAGGCGTAGATGACGTGCGTGCACAAAAACGGGTCGACGTCCGTGGGAGAAAAAGATCCGTCTCCGACTCTGTACCTGGCCCAGTTGGAAACAAAACACACGACACGCCCACAGTTTTGTGACGTTCGTGGAGACAGCGTGATGGGTTGGCGTGTGGTCGGGTTGGATGTAGCAATGAGTGGTGGAACAGTCAACTGGTCGGGGCGAATTTTCTCGGATGCGCATTCTACGTTGAAAGGCCAATCACAGTACCGATATTTTTGGTTGTAGAGTAGACCCGGGCCACACGTGAAGTGGTAGGCGAAGCCGCGGTAACACTGGTAGAAGAAGTTGCAGTAGATGGGGTCGGGGTAAAGGTCGTCTATTTTGTCGCGGCAGAAGGTCAGGGACGGCGGTTTCAGTGCGGTGGTGGTCGAAGCTGTTGTAGTTTTGGTTGTGGGTGTTGTTGTAGTTGTCGAAGTTGTTGTGGTTGTAGTTGTAGATGTAGTTGTATGTTCTGCTGTTGTGGTTGTCGGTGTTGTTGTGGTTGTCGGTGTTGCTATGGTTGTTAGTATTATTTTTGTTGTCGGAGCCGTTGTGCTGGTGGTAGTCGCCGTTGTTGTAGTTGTGCGTGTCGTTGTTGGTGTTGTTGGTGGTGATGTGACACACTTGGCACTCTCCGGCCAGTCACATACGCTGAGCTCCACGTTGAAGTGGAGGGACGCCGGGCAGTTGAGAGAATAATTCTTCCCACCGTAACAATTGTAGTACTTGGCGCAGTTCTCCGGGTCGGGATACAGTGCTGTACCCTTGTCAGAACAGAATTTGGTGTCCAACGCTACCACCGTGTGCGCTGCTAGCACCAGCCAAAGTATCGTTGCTCCGAAGATATTCTGATTTGAAGGAAATATTTCATAGTTAGATTATTTGGTAAACACACGTGGAATGATACAGGGGCCAGAGGTTAAATGTGTTAAGGTAGGAAACGAAAATGGTAGTAAATGATTAATAGTTGATGACTTTGCGTTAACGGACTAGCCATATGGTGGGTGTCTCACATAATCTTTCTCGCTCTCCCCCCATACACACACACACACACACACACACACACACACACACACACACACACACACACACACACACACACACACACACACACACACACACAAATAAATAATATATATATATATATATATATATATATATATATATATATATATATAACACACACCCACACACCCACACACACACACACACACACACACACACACACACACACACACACACACACACACACACATATATATATTATATATATATATATATATATATATATATATATACATATATATATATATACATAGTTTGGTTTTTGTGTTAGTGCATTACATTGTTATCACGTAAATACTTCAAAAATATTTTTTTTAAAATTCTTGTTAAAAACTTAAAACTACATTTGTGCCCCATGTTTTTTTAAAAATAATATTCCAAAGTGGAAACTAATAAATAGAATTGCTTGCAACTTGCCAAACCAGTTTCTTGGGATAGGTAGGTTTATTTCCTGTTTGACGAAGGTGCACGTATGCACTGAAAGCTTTTCATCCTTTTTCTTCAAAAATATTTTGTTTAAATAAGAGTCAGGAAAATATTATTGAGGTGTTAGTGAGTTAGAGCCCATTATTTGAACAGCCGAATATGAAATGAAATAATCATAAACGATAGAGGCATATAGTTCTCGCAATCAGGGATTCTTAAACTGTAGATGGTAAAAGTAAACTAAACTTTGTGTTTTTTTTTTAATTTAATGGTAATATTGACGTATAATTAAATAGTTTGAAATCTTGCACATTTCTTTCATCTTTTGTGTGCACGTGCTGTCTTGAGGTAAAAACAATATACTCGGTTATGTCGACAGCCTCGTGGTTCGCCAAAAAGTGTCGAGATAACCGATGGTCGAGATAACCAAAAACCAATATGGCGACAATATATTAACATGGGCATGAAATTTATTTATGTACATGATGTGCGTTAATAAATGCAGGTACTTCAGCAACAAAATAATGAATAATTGTATTAGTATTCCAGTTATGTAGAGCAAATTTCAAATTTAAAAATGAAACCAGAATCAATATTTTAACTTGAGAACTTTTTGAGCTAACAATGTTCAAAGTGCGAGTTCGTTTGGTATTTTCAACTATAGACGACGCCACCACATTTTGTGACCTCATTCTGCTGATGATGTCTTGCGCAATGACTACAGTTTTATAGTTTATATAAGGCAACGCATCCCCTTATTACTAAAAATACTATTTAAATAGTCCTGTGCCAAAGTTGAATGTTCAAAATAAGTAGTTCCTAAATAGTATTTCAAGAAATGAATACATATATATCATCCATACACCTGGAGTTGGAGTTGTGAGTTTTCATTAAATTTACGTTGTGCTTTGTCTGTCCCAACGCATAGGCACCCAAAATATAATCACAGAGAGGAGCGGTCCTGTACTAACGACTACTAAATTAATATAGTTTGTTATATGTCAGGACCCGAGCCCTCCTCCGCAACAACCATTCTGATATATATATATATATTTGAAATTTCTAACGTGCTAGTCATTGCAGATCCATTTCATTGAAATCTATGACTACTAGCGGCTTAACCAGGGTTAGTGCCACCCGGGGCTGGCCACGATTTTTACCGCTCGTCCCCGACGAAGAAAACTGTCCAGTTGGCAGAAAATGCTGTCCTGGCCGAAAATGCCGCCCATCAATATTTACTTAGGGCTTTTACCCGGCCTGGGGCATAGGCCGTATACAAGAATTTTTCATTCATCTCGGTCTCGTGATTTCCTTTCCAGTGCGCTCTTCCTCTAGCTCGCGTCTACGTGTATTATTTGCCGAAGTCTCTTTATATTTCCCTCGTGGATTCGATGTTAGGGATTTTCTGGTGATGTTATATGGGGGTTTACGTAGAGTGTGCCCTATCCACCTCCACTTTTTTCTTATGTATCTTCAGCAATAGGTTCTTGGTATGTAGTAAGTCTTTGTTGGGGAAGATGTTTGGCCATTTGATGTTCAGGATCATTTTAAGGCAATTATTTATGAAGGTCTGCACTTTCTGCATGATGCTCGCTGTTCTCCTAGTTTCGGCTCCTTAGAGTAGGATTGTTTTGACTTCGCTCAGCAATATAGACAAAAAGAAGTGCCCGGGGCTGACCCCCCCCCCTGCCCCCCATCCGCACCTTCTTCCTACGCCAGTGCTAACTGCGCTGTGTATCAAATGTAGAGACCGACCGAAAGTGATTCTCTGATTTCGGCCGAAGCCGAAAATGGACCGAAAGTTGAAAATGACTTTCGGCCGAAACCGAAAAAATGCCGATAGTTTAAAAATGACTTTCGGCCGAAACCGAAAAAATACCGAAAGTTAAAAATAAATTTTGGCCGAAACCGAAGCCGAAACCGAAAATGAAATATTAAGATATTTTGAAATTCGTTCCCGCATACATTCTGCATACATCGAAAATGATGTGGGAAATTATAAATATTTACATTCTTTTTATAAAAAATTAGATACTCGTGAATATTAATAAATAAAAATCTAATATAGGGGTCTCAAACTCGCGGCCCACGAGCCATTTGTGACCCGCAAGACGATATTTTGCGGCCGCTACATGACAGAAAGGTTTAGTGCAAATGCGCCGGCCCGTTTCCCCTATTGTCATATCTATAACGTGACTCTCCGCGACGGTTTCATTCGAATCTCACCGACTAGTCTAATTTTGATTTTTTTTTTTTTTTAAATGTTTCTATGTATTTTTGTATGCCAGGTCTCTGGCAACAATGAGTAGTTCTTGAGAACCCTTAATGATTTTATTGCTATTTATAAAGGTTGAGCAGATTGTAACAGTGGTAATCGCTTTTTTTTGTGGATTACTCGATGCGGCCCACACTCATTCAGACACTATCTCCTGTGCCCCCCCCCCCCCTTTCCCCACTGGTTTGGGTTTGAAACCCTTGCTCTAAGAATACTTAGGATTTTTCCCTTTTAATATAAAAGTAATTTAAATTGCTTTAAATTTTTTTTTAGCCCACACTCATTCAGACACTATCTCCTGTGCCCCGCCCCCCTTTCCCCAATGATTTGAGTTTGAAACCCTTGATCTAAGAATACTTAGGATTTTACCATTTTAATATAAAAGTAATTTAAATTGCTTTACAATTTTTTTTAAAATTAGTATGGTAGGAGAAAATTGGGAAGGGGGGGGGGAGGAGGGGAAATTAATGCAAAATATTTTTTTTTAAAACAGGGTCTCTAAAAAATGTGGTTCTAGAAGTTCGCTTAATTTGTTTTTAAAGATCGTTTAGTTGGTTGTTATTGATCGGTTAGTTTGTTGTTCAAGATCGTTTAGTTTGTTGTTCAAGATCGTTTAATTTGTTGTTCAAGGTCGTTTAGTTTGTTGTTAAAGATCGCTTAGTTTGTTGTAAAGATCGCTTAGTTTTTTCTTAAAGATCGCTTAGTTTCGTGTTGAAGATCTTTTAGTTTGTTCATAAAGATTGCTTAGTTTGTTGTTAAAGATCGCTTAGTTTGTTGTAAAGATCGCTTAGTTTTTTCATAAAGATCGCTTAGTTTGTTCTTAAAGATAATTAATTTTGTTCCTTAAGATAGATTAGTTTGTTCCTAAAGAATATTTAGTTTTCTGTTAAAGATCGCTTAGTTTATTCTTATAAATCATTTAGTTTACCATTAAAGATCATTTGTTTTGTTCTTAAAGATCATATAGTTCAGTCTTAAAAATCGTTTAGTTTGTTCTATTAGAGCGTTTAGTTTGTTATTAAAGATCGCTTAGATTGTTCTTAAAGATCGCTTAGTTTGTTGTTAAATATCGTTTAGTTTGTTCTCAAAGATCGCATAATTTGTTCTTAAATGTGGCTTAATTTGTTGTTAAATATCGCTTTCACTGAGTATTAAAATGACCGAAAACCTGAGTCACTTTCGGCCGGATGGCCGAAAGTCTAAGTCAATTTCGGCCGAAACCGAAGAAAAACCGAAAGTTAACTTTTCTCTTTCGGCCGAAACCGAAATTAATCCGAAAGTTAACTTGTCAGTTTCGGCCGAAACCGAAACTTGGCCGAAATTGATAAAATGGCCACTTTCGGCGCTGAAACCGAAGCCGAAATTCGGTCGGTCTCTAATCGAATGTAATTTCTTTGAGATGTATGATTTAGGAAGGGGAAAAACTTCCATTAAGCTAAAATAAGAATACAAACAGATACCGGAAATGAGAGAAACAAACTAACTAACATGGCGGCGTGAAGCCTTCTTCAGCGAACATATACTGTAACAACAAAATAAAATTAAAAACAGATACCGGCAGGCTGGGGTACAATTCAGTTTAATATAGATGTTCATTTTATCCGTTTTCATAAATCGAACAAGAAAATAATTAAATAAATCATTTTTTTAAATTATTTTTTTTGTAATACATTTTCGTGCCAATAATTGTGGTTAAAATGTTTAAGAAGCTCAGTTTTAAGTGACTCGTGACATGGTTAGGCATTCTGAAGGCCGTGCTAGAGGCTACCGAAACCTCATGTAAACATTATAGTGAAAACATTCACAACTTTTGCATGACGCCGTCTATGAGAGATGTCTTTTCTCTTAGTGTACGGCAAGGGACGTTAGAATAAGGCTTTATAACTTGTTCTTTAATTTGTGAGAAGGAATATGGGGTGGGGGTCTTTAATGCAATTAAAAAGTGGGGCGGTCTTAAAACGCCATGAGTGTTGTTGATTCATGTGTGTGTGATTTTGTGGGGGGGGGGGGGTAAAGATACCAACTAAAAGTTGAATAGGGGTCGAAAAAATTGAGTGGAAAGGATAGTCACAGGGTTAGAGTTCAAACTTTAATTTTAAGGGGGGGGGGGTAAAGATACCAACTAAAAGTTGAATAGTGGTCGAAAAAATTGAGTTGAAAGGATAGTCACAAGGTTAGAGTTCAAACTTTAATTTTAATCTGTTCATGGATTTTAGCCAACCAAAACCCGTCATATTCGCTGTAAATGAATCACCAAGATTCTAGACATAAAGCATGAACTCTATTGAGTCAGAATATAAATAGATGCCGTAGAAACCTTTTTTAAACATATCAAACAGCCTTTTATAAAGGAGCTGTTGACAATGGAAAATATTTATCATGAGATTTTCTATTTATGATCATATAAAACTTTTTTAAAAAAAATAAAAAAAACTTCACCATGTTATCCAAACAATGAATGTATCTGTATCTAAATTTAGTTCACGATGTATTTGAGTTGTTCAGTGTAGTTGCACACGGATTCCCCCCCCCCCCTTCCTAGCAAATCCAAAACAAAAATTATTGACTTCATGCCATTCTGTGATAGTCGGATGTTTCGTGGTTTGAAAGTTTGTTGTAAGTTGCTAACCCCAGGCTGTTGAAGAGTTAACAATGTTAGGATGCATTAAATAGGGTGAGGGATAGAATTTTTATATTGGGGATGTAGCAGACAAAGTGTAAAATTACCACATGAAACTCGCAAAAATCAAAATAAATGATTGTTTCGGGAAACTGGCTATTTTCTACTTAAAATACGCTCGTTATCACAATCTTTCTGTCTCAGAAGCCGTGTTCGGTTCTAGCCATATATCATAGCCTCAAATAATGGTCATTATCGTACATGCCATTTCGCCATTCTTCATCATTGATAGCCAATACTAAAGGCAGAATTTTCTAGTAACTAGATTTATTAAAAAAAAGAAATGTGTTAATCGCGTTTAAGCATGACCAGGGCGTTGCGTCAGTCCTGCAACCCCCGCAGGGGGTCTCGAAATGTAAGGAGTACAAAGTTGTGATGTAGGATAAAAAAGTACAGTATCAACTTTGAATGCAGGGGTCAGGCCCGTGCGAAAGTGTGTGGGTGGGGGGGGGGAAGGGGCACCTCCCCGACCGCAAAGCCAACCTCGGGGAGGGGGGGCTCCTAAAATCTCGAGACGGCTCCGTGCATTATAACATCCGTATTAAAAGTAAAATAGCTGAATACACACACACAAATGCTTTAGGTTTTGTTTCTTAAGAATTACACCGTAATCCCTTTTTTTGGGAAAAAAACCCAAACATCAGATTTTTAGTGCGTGTTTTAGTACGTTGTTAATATTTCGAAATAAAATTCAAATTAATTTGTTCTAAATAAAGACGCAAATGACTTCACAGTGCGATTGGCCTATGTTAGCCAAAACTCATACGTTTCTTTGATTTAATAACCGCGCGTCACTAAACTGAAAATGGATTTTCCCCTGCGTAAAAGTAAAATTAATAAATAAAATTGATTGCTTTTTAAATTGTTAATAAAACACACGCACATTTTAGCTCTGTATTTTTAACTTTTAATACGTTGTTACTTTTTAAAATTCCAAAAATATACTTTTTTTTGAATGTATAACGTAATAAAAACTTAACTTTTAAAAATACTTCTAATGAGAAAATGCCGTTTTAGTCAATCAGTGCAGCGCAACTCCATAGCCAAAATAGCATTCACTAGCCCACTTGTAACTCATCCAAAAAAGAACAAACCAAATGAAGTGCAAAATATGTTAGTTTGGGTAGGAAGGGACTACAATCCGATTGGAAGATTTTATTAATTTTATTTAAATCTGGGGTGAAAATCGTCCCTCAATTAACTTCTTTAGTGACAAAAGTGATATAATTAGCGATAATTTAGAATGGATATTTAAGGTCATGTTTAGAGGGGAAAAAAAGCTAAAAGGCCTGAAAGGGAGTAGGGAAACCGTATAATATATAACAGATAAATACTTCTCAAAACTTAATGTTAGAAACATAAAGATCATTACATAGATACTTCTTTTTTTGAAGTTTGGAATTGTGATGAGTTTTTGCAAAAGCAGGTATAAATTATCGCAAAGGACCTACCATTATTATCCCGATAACATCGGATCATATATTCTAGTACCATATAGTAAAACAAAATAATGCGGTCAAAAAGAAACTTGACGCTAAATTAGATCTTGTGAACTGAAAAAAAAAATTCGACCAAACTTCCGTTAAATCAAACGTCCTTTCGATCAAATTTCGGTTCGATCAAACTTCCGTCTATCAATTTTCCGTCGACGAATTTTTTTTCAAAAACATTTCGGGATACGGGTGATAACTACAATTATACTTTTTAAAATATATTTTATGAACAACCATCAGAGTGACTAATGTACGAAACTAAAGTTGGAACTCACCATCTTAGAATCAACGTCCAGTTTTGTGACAAGTGTTCACTTTCCTTACTCCACGCCTCTATTATACCAAGGGGGAGTCACCTCTTTTTGCTTGCTTGTTAAGTTCATTGCGGGACAACTTTGAATGGCCGCGTGCACGCACCCGAATGTACCCGCTATGCCACCCCACACTCACCCACCCCAATTCGAGTCCTATTTGATGTATCAAAATGTTTACACTGATAAAAAAAAAAATTAAAGAAAAGAGCGAAAAAAATAAAGTCAATAGCAAATAAAGGTAAGGACAATCTTCGCAGAAGGAAGGAACTGATACGTTTTAGGCAAACAGAAACCTTCCAAAATGTAATTTATTTACATTATTACCCACTCCTAAACCACAACCAGGGATTCTCAATACTTTTCATTAATTGTATATGTATTTTTGGTGTAATGTGTGTGTGTGTGTGAGGGGTGGGGTGGGGGGGGGGTAAGAAACACAGGGTATGGGAAAACACGATAGAACACAAAACAACGAGTGTGTCGGCCGAAAAGTCTGCAGCTAAATAATGTATTCATCTTCATACCCCAGATCATGCAAAGATTCTATACCTGAATCCCAACTTCTTAGTCTACTTCGCCTCTGCTAGCCCGATGAAGAGTTGTTAGGCAAAGGGCAAATGAAATGATGGACTTGTTCCGCTCCAAATATTATCCATAGAATTCCCTTATTTCGCACTGGATCGTGCTAGTACGTTCTAACTCAATGAGGCTTTTAAATCTCATGTCAACAAAAATGAGATTCAAACAAAACTGGTCCTTACCTAAGAACCTCACAATGTGACTGACAAAAAAATTATTCTTGAAGAATCGTCATATATCACTTGCTGACCCTGACACCAACAGGGCATTCGAACCCCCCCTCCCCCACGTATCGTACGTATCGTATTCAGATGGGATGGATACCTATGCAGATGGTTTGAGAACCTATACAGATGGGTTGAGAACCTACGCAGATGGGTTGAGAACCTATGCAGATGGGTTGGGAACCTATGCAGATGTGTTTAGAACTTATGCAGATGGGTTGAGAACCTATGTAGATGGGTTGAGAACCTACGCAGATGGGTTCGAACCTATGCAGATTGGATGAGAACCTATGCAGATGGGATGAGAACCTATGCAGATTGGATGATAACCTATGCAGATGGGATGAGAACCTATCCAGATGGGATGAGAACCTATGTGACTTTTTGTTCGAGCCGATCCCTCTTATGTTGGGACTAAACTCGAGTGTTGGCAGCATGCTGGAAACACTGGGCTGGTCGACATTGGAAGAACGACGACGACTATCCAGGCTCTCCATGTTGTACAAGATAACAAATGGGCTGGTTCACTGCTCCGGAATCAAACAGAAACTCGTTCATCTTCCCCCCAGACTGCGACGAAGTCACGACAAACAGTTCCGGCTGATAAAAACAAGAACAAAGTACAGAAGCTCCTCATTCCTGCCGAAGACAATAGGGGACTGGAACAAGCTTCCAAAAGCAACAGTTGAGGCGGCTACACTCGATACATTTGTGTCTATTGCCTCCTGTATTCCAACCCCCAGTTCATAACACCACTGCTGAGTCGCCCTTGCAACTAGTGAAGTATCCCATTGAAACCCATGGACAGTAACATCGCAAACCCCTCTGAAACATAGGAGCCAGAATGATCAATTCATTCATCGTGGGCCCTTAAAATAAAGAAGAAGAAGTAAACCATGTTCCGGAAGCCGTATTTGATCCCTCTTGCGTTGGGACTAAGCAATGTTCCAGAAGCCTTATTTGATCCCTCTTGCGTTGGGACTAAGCAATGTTCTAGAGCCCGTTATGGGACATGTCCCTATGATCTTTTTACGTTGGGACTAAACCATTTTCCGGAAGCCGTATTTGATCCCTCTTACGTTAGGACTAAGCCATGTTCCAGAGCCCGTTATGGGACATGCCCCCATGATCCCTCTCACGTTTGGAGCTGCGAACTGCTCCCATGCCCCCCCCACCCCACCTTTTCCCCCTCGAGTCCACTGGCAGTCAAGCTTTCTCCAACACACACATCCAATTAGTAAGCCGAAGCGAAACCACTATTAATGCAGAATTCTGAATGGACGGATGCAAATAAAATCTTCTGTCAACTATACATTCCCTTGCGCAAGTTGGACCCTATAAGTCTCCGAAAACAAACTCACCATCTATATCGTCCAGGACTGGTCACTGTTGGCTGAAAGGCTTGGCATTGTAGACACACCTGACTGGCTCAGAGGAAAGTATCCCTATTTCGATTAAATAATAATAATAAAGTTAATTTTTTTTTAAAAATCATGCTTCATCCCCAAAGGCTCGAAGCGCGGTAGAAAGTCAACCATATTAAAAGACAAATGAAACAAGCTATATTTTACCACATTAAAACACAAAACGCAACACTACAAAAACTACAAACGAGCCAAACCCATTCAAAGTCTTTCATCCCTTTCAACTATAAACAACACAAGCCAATATACATCTAGGAGATAATAGCTAGCTGAAAAAGATGGAAGACAACATCACCCCAGCAAGTGTTTGCGAAATAGATGTGTTTTCAAATCGGTTTTGAAGGATTCCAGTGTCTGGCTGTTTCTTAGACCGACAGGAAGGGTTTCCAAATTGTTGGGCCAGCAAATGCGAAAGTGCGTCTTCCGTAAGTCTCAAGGCGAACACGTGGTGTTGAGAGTTTACCACAATCGGATGAGCGGAGTTATCTAGTGGGTACATAAGGCGCCATGAGCGCTTTGAGATAGGACGGCGCTAGGTCATGCAAGCAGCGGTAGCACAGAGTTGCAATTTTGTACTCTATGCGAGCATGGACCGGCAGCCAATGCAACTCTCTCAGAAGTATTTTAGCATGGTCGAAATTGTGTTTACGAAGAACGATGCGAGCCGCATTATTCTGTGCTTTTTGCACTTTATCCAGGATCGTAGCTGGAAGACCCACCATGAGAGCATTGCAGTAGTAGTCCATGCGTGATAGCACAAATGCAGACATCAGCCTCTTTGAGGCATCAAACTTTAAGAAAGGTCTGATATGACTAATTCTGCGCAGCTCTAGAAAAAAAATCGCCTTGCAAAGCATGTTAATATGATTTTCCATAGTTAGTGTTCTGTCTAAGTAGACACCAAGATTTCGCACTGTTTAGGCAAACTCAATCTGCACACCTGAGAGAGTAAGGAATTGTGATATTTTCAGATTTTAGCTTTTGAGCAGTGGCCATGGGGATCACCTCGGTCTTTTCATCGTTCAATTTGAGCGTGTTCATTGTCATCTAGTGCTTAACTGACTCCACTGTCTTCTGCGTCTTGCTAAGAAGCTTAGGGAACTGAGAGGGGATCATGGATTGCTGAAGTTGGGTATCATCCGCAAACATGTGATATAACATGTCAATTTGCTTGATCACTGCACTAAACTTAGTGGCTAAACGTACATGGTTTTATGTAGCACACATTCCCCGTGCGTGAACTTTCTTTGACCCCGCATTAGACTACTAGCACACAGTAAAGTTTGTTGTGGGCGTGGTTAAATCTCTTTGATGTATCTTGTTTACAACCGTGTTTACCAATTAAACATGGTTAGACTGTCTCTATTATCTTGTCGAATGTTCTCGATAACCCGAGAAATGTAAACAACGGTATAAGTCTTTTCTGGAAGCGTCTTACGCTACATGTATATAAGAGAGTGACAGATACGGAGAGTCGGAGATTCAGATAGATAGTTTTAACTTCACGAGACGGGTATTATTCTTTGTGTATTTATATGTGTTTATTCGCATTCTTCATTCATCAATATTCATTGGCACATTGTACTGGCATGCCCAATATTCATTGGCACATTGTACTGGCATGCCCAATATTTACTGGCACATTGTACTGGCATGCCCAATATTCACTGGCACATTGTACTGGCATGCCCAATATTTACTGGCACATTGTACTGGCATGCCCAATATTTACTGGCACATTGTACTGGCAT